CAGGGCCCCCCACCAGGAGGACACGCGTTTCCTCCTCGGTTCTGTGAGCTCGTGTGGGAACAGATGTCCTCGCTTCCTGCCCAAATCTGCGAGCTGGGTTGGCTCCTTTTGCTGCTACCAGGGAGGCAGAAACTGCATGGAAATCTCTGGGCTTCCCCGGAGAGGAAAGTACTCCCTTTCCTGGCTTCCACCCCTCCTCTCTGGTCTGGGTGCCCAATCTCGGCATCCACGACTGATGTGCAAACACTTCTGGGCCCTGCTCCCCGCTTGGGAGGGCCCAGACTGGAGTGCGTTGAGTGAATACACGTCTGAGCCTTAGTGTACAGGATTCCCAACTCTGCTCAGGAAGGGGACAGGAGGGGACCAAGAAAGGGCAGGGTGACTTGGGACGAAGGCACTGCAGGCACCTGGGGAACTGAAGGCAAAGGAGTAAAAAAGAAAATAAACATTTGTTGAGCAGCTAATACATGCTAGGAATAAAGAGCAAGGGTGTGGCATGTCCTAGGGACCTACTAAGTGCAGGCTCTGGGCCGTGCCCTGGGAACACAGAGCAGCAGGTAAGAGTCCCTGGGGAGATTTGGCACACAAGGTCGCATGTCCTCTTATTTAATTCTCATGACAATCCCATGAGGTACTACCACTGGCTCCGCCTCATAGATGGGGAGACTGAGACCAGACCTGGGCGGAGACTTCAGGATGGAGATGTCCAGGATGGGCTATCTTTGTCCCCAGCCCACACGTAGTCACCTCCTGGGGAGAAGAAACCCCTTTGCCCACAAGCACATCCCAAGAGGGGTTCATCTTCCTTCACTGGGAGTTTGAGCATCCATAAGGGCTGGCCCTGGAGACAGAGAGGAGATGTCGCCGCTGATCCCTGCCCTGGAGGAGCTCATGGCCCACAGGCAGCGGGGAAAGTGGGAGATACTGGAGCCGAGGGAAGGACGGGGGCTGAGGGAAGACAAGACACGTGTTTGATCGCTGTCCGCTCTGTCCAGCACCAAGGGACTGTGGTGAGAGGACAGGGATTGGAGATGGCCAGGGTCACCGATGGTCCTGGTTTGCCCAGAACTGAGAGGTTTCCTGAGATGTTTAGCGCTGTCACTGGGAAAATCCCAGGCCATCTGAGATGAGTGGGTCATCTTAAGCCCTGCGTTCAAATCCCAGCTCTGCCATGTGCCTGTGGCAGAAACTACCAGTTACTTAATTAGCATCCGATTGCCCAGCTTTTAGAAATGACTGGAATATAGTCTGAAGGTGTTCCCTGCCCAATTCTACTTCCTCCCTCATCCTGCTTTATAGATTTAACTCCGTTCAATAAACATTTATTGAGCAGATACATTGTACCATGGGCTTTAGTGGGCTCCAGGGAATAGAATAATACTCTTCCCCGCTTTTATCAGCAGACGCAGTGACCAGGAGCACGGTTAGAGTGGACAGTGGAGAAGGCAGACAAGGGCCCTCCCATGGCCTGAGACCAACTGCAGATGCGGGGGCTCTGGCTCATCCACCACCGTCCCTCTGCCAAGTGTCCCCTCAGGAAGAGCAGCCACTGGTGCCCTGCAGGAGCTGCTCCTGACCACGTGTGGAGAGGTGGGTCTGACGGTGCAAGGGGGACCATGGCAGCCAGAGAGGGCTCCCCAACTCTCCCTTCAAGAATGAACTTGCCACCAAGCTGCACCCGGGGCAGTTAGCAGACACGGGCCAGTTTCATGAGCCACCCCGGTTTTTTAGCTGAAGCCACACTCTTCTAGGCAGCTCCTGCCAATGACTGAGTGTGCAAAGGGCGTTAGAGACTGGCTATTTCTATCTAACGTGGGGATCCCCTCACAGGCGGCCCTGGCCCCAGAGCTCCCTGTTAGGGTGGTGAAGACTTTGTGAGATCTGTGTTGGGGTGTGAGGCTCTCCCTGCCTCCTCCCCTTGTACCTTTCGCAGGCCTTAACCGCCAATAAGCCACTCGCACTGCTAACCCTGTCTCAGTGTCCTGGACGACCCAAGTGACAAGCGCCACCCCTAAAACAAATCCCCAGTCCATCCCCTTCTCCGCCTAGAACACCCCCTCCTTCCCCGGACTTCCGCACGGCTGGTTCCCAGGTCACTCGGGCCTCAGCTCCAGCGCGGGCCTTTGCTGACAACTGTAGGAACAATGCCCACCTCCCGGCTGCCCCCACCATCCTCCTGTGACTTTCTATAATATCACCTTTAGATTTTTTGTAGTTCTCATCACCGTGGTAAATGAACATGCTGATTTAATTATTCCTTTGTTCGCGGCCGGCCTCCCCACTAGGCTATGAGCTCCGCGAGCTTGTCACCTCACGGTTCTCCCCAGTGCCTGGCACAAAGTAGGTCTCAAAACATAGTTTTTGAATGAATGACTATATTTGTTGTTTATAATAGAATTCCCTTAACCTGACCTAAGAAAAGAATGAAAGTGAAAACAATTTAAAAACCTAGGAGACAGGAGACTTCAGAGGGAAAATGCAGGGACTGTCGCAGGCTTATGGAAGGCCCCCACCCCCCGGGAATACGTTTCTGCCATCCCTTGAGGAACCCTGTGTCAGGATGAAGGGGGGTCCCCCCCACAGCCCAGAAGAGATGGGCTTTGGACCTCTCTGTCCTTACCGACCCCCGCCGCCTCCAACGCTACCTGCGAGGAACTAGTTCAGCAAACATCCACCAAGAAGCTACCCTGGGTGGGCTTCATGCTGCTCTGGGGACAGAGATGAGTCAAGGAAGATGGAGGAGTGGCACCCCAGGCAGGGGGACAGCATGAACACAGAGAGGGGACACTCTGGTGCCTTTGGGGCATTGTGCACAGTTCCGTATTGCTCCAGGCAGTGAGGGATCAGACCCCAGGCTGGAAGAGTCAGTGGTGTTCAGATCGCCGAGAGTCTCGCCAGCCCAGAGAAGCTAACATAGAAAGACCTGGCATTTATCGAGGCGTTCTGCACCCTACTATGACTCCACAGTTTATGGATGAGAAAACCGAGGCACAGTGAAGGTGTCGTGCCCCACAGGGCAATGCAGAGGACCCTGGATGGATACTGCACGTATAGTAGGTCTGCATCACAGCCAAGGAACCACACACGAGTTTAGGAAACCCCATCTTTTATGATGGGCTACAAGCGAATCTGCCCAACTTTTGCCCCAGAGATATCAACTTTTTTTATTCTGGTTGGCAAACAAACCTGCCCTCTGGTCCAGAGGGGAACACTAGCTTTATTTTCCAAGGCTGTTCACCATACAAACATCCTTGAAGAAATCGTCCTGAACAAAAGCTGTCACTGCCTCTCTTCACAAGATATGCAGAAACACCAGAGACCTAGTAATTGTCTTCCAACATTAAATAACTTGCCCAGGGTCGTGCAACTGGTAACAGGTAGAGGCAGGATTCGAACTAGGCCTTCTGGCTCCAGCACGCGTGCCCTTGATCATGAGGAAATAATGCCTCTTAAGGAGTTTGGACTTTATTCCATAAAAGATGGGGAGCCACCATCTTTTATAAGCAGAGGAGAAACATGTTCACATCACAGGTTTAAAAGTCATTCTGGGGGATAGACCAGTTTAAACAAGATTCGACTCCAGCCTTTGGACCCACTTATTCAACTGTCGCCAAACTCTCATAGGGCAACTCAGGTAAAGGTGGCACCATTTGGTGCTCAAGTCACAGTGGCTCTCCTTCTCTTGGCAGCAACCCCTTCTCTTGGCCTCTCCTGTCCTTCCCTGAGCTTCCTATGACAGTGTCTCCTGGGGGTGTTATCTGTGTGGTTCTGTCTTTGCGTGTATTTGCACCAGGAGTCCCCATGCCCCCTGAAGCCCCAGGACTTCCAGGGGACATACTGCCTGCCTTTGTCTTCAGAGAGTCTGGCCCTTCTCTCCATCCTGGAGATGCTTCTTCCACGCCGTGCTGCCTGGGCTGGGTTTTCAGGTCACTGCTTCAGCGAGTACTAACGCACATCCACACACACGGCTCTGGGGTTCGTTGTGTGCAGAGCTTGCATTTGATCCATTCCTATCTTACAACTCTGGTCTGGACAAAAATCCCCGACTCCCAGAAGTGGCACGAGCAGCACGGACATCATGCTGATGGGTGTTGGAGGGAGCGGGTAGCGCACATGCCTAGGACCCCTTGACAAAATCCCAGTGGCCAGACAGGGTCCCCCAGGGCTGTTGCCTCCTCAGAAATGTTCGGGTCTCTCCCCATCAGCAGCACTACGTGAGGACCCCTGGAGACCACAACTGTCACCATGGAGGTCCAGAGACCCTGCTGTGAGCCTTCCTGCAAGTCCAGGATGCAGGCTCCGAAGGGAGACAGCTGGGACCCTCCACAGCCTTCTGGGCACCCTCCCAGCCTGGGAACACGTATTGGCCAGGAAAGGCCTCATGGAACATTGGTGCTGGAGCTGAATTGTGAAGGATAGTAGGGTTCTTTTTAAAAGTTTTTAGTTGCAAAGTTAATTTTCAACAATATATATATATATATAGACATTTTTGACAGGAGATAGTACAGGGCTCCTCCTCCACCCCCACGCCACAGCCCACTCCCATTCCCGCTGTTCCTCCCGCCCTGGTCCTCCTGCCCACCAGGCCTGCCGGCTAGCCAACCTATCACAGACTGCAAGGGGGGGAGGGTCTTCCCTGCCACCTATGACGCTCAGTGCCCCCCAAGGATACGGAGGAGGGAATTTCTACCACCCTCTGAGATCACAGGAAGATTTTCTTTTTGGTGGGGGTGGAGGGGGGTGAACTCTGTTCCTTCAGGAGGATGGAGGTGGGGAGTGACAAGCAGGTGGCCACAGTATACTGAGGTTAGGTCAAACCCCTCCCCTACCAAAACTGGGTCTCTTCCAACTGCTCCCACCCCAGCTGCATCTGGTAGTCCAGTCCATCTGGGTCCAGTCAGACGTGCCTGGGTCAAAGGCTGCTCTAATGCATCTACCTGTGTGACCATGACAGCGACATGACCCCGGTGGTCCTCAGTTTCCCCATTTGTAATGTCAGCATGTCCACCGTGAGGCTTAATGATGACCAAGTTTATACCACGCCCAGCCCAGAGCCCCACTCGGAGGACAGCTCCTTTCCAGGTAGCTGTCGGCATAACAGGTATGGCCAGAGCACAAGAGGGGTGGGGGCGGGGGCTCGCCCAGGAGCCCCGCTGCGCGGCCATCGGGTCGCCGCCCTCTGTGCTGTGACAGCAGCAAGACAAAGTCCTGGGCGCTGCCCCCGCTCCTTGCCGCATCGCCAGCGGCTCCCCCACCTCGGCGCCCGGCACGGAACGGGTGCGGGGCTGGGCCAGGGCCGGCCCGGGGGAGCGAGTGGGGCGGGGCCGCCGCGCCCGCTCCCCCTCCCCTCCGCCCGCCGCCCTCTCCTCCTCCCGCCGCCCGGGCTCAAAGCGGCGGCAGCAGCGGCCGCGGCGACAGCTCCGGCTCCGGCTCCGGCTCCGGCTCCGGCTCCGCCGGCCCGCGCGCTCGGGCCCCGCGCGACCCCCGCCGGCCTGCCGGGGGCCTCGGGCGCCCCCGCCGCCCGCCTCACGCTGAAGTTCCTGGCCGTGCTGCTGGCCGCGGGCATGCTGGCGTTCCTCGGTGCCGTCATCTGCATCATCGCCAGCGTGCCCCTGGCGGCCAGCCCGGCGCGGGCGCTGCCCGGCGGCGCCGACAACGCCTCGGCCGCTCGGCCGCCTCCGGCGCGCCGCGTCCCGGGCCGCAGCGCAGCCTGAGCGCGCTGCACGGCGCGGCGCTCGGCCGGGCCCCGGCCGCTGGGGGCGCCTGCGGCCAGCGCGCACCCGCTGCCGCCCGGGCTGCTCTTCAGCCGCTTCCTGTGCACGCCGCTGGCGGCCGCCTGCCCGTCGGGGGCCGAGCAGGGGGACGCGGCGGGCGCGGCGCCCGGCGAGCGCGAGGAGCTGCTGCTGCTGCAGAGCACGGCCGAGCAGCTGCGCCAGACGGCGCTGCAGCAGGAGGCGCGCATCCGCGCCGACCAGGACACCATCCGCGAGCTCACCGGCAAGCTGGGCCGCTGCGAGAGCGGCCTGCCGCGCGGCCTCCAGGACGCCGGGCCGCGCCGCGACGCCATGGCCGACGGGCCGGGGGACTCGCCCGCGCTCATCGTGGAGCTGGAGGACGCCGTGCGCGCCCTCCGGGACCGCATCGACCGCCTGGAGGTGAGCGCCCGCGCCGTCGGGGGAGCCGCCCTGGCGGGAGGGGCCGCGCGGTCGCGGTGGGCGCTCGTGCGCACCCCGGGCTGGCCGCCGCCGCCCATGGGTCTCCCACCCTCGGGTCTCCCGTCTGTGTATCGGGGAGCGTCACTCCTTCGCTGGCAGGGCGGGAGGATTCCGTCAGGGAACGGGGACAGGCGTCTGGCACAGCGACTGAGGCACGGTGCGCCCGAAAGGCTCATTTCGATACTTTCCCCTCGCCAGACACCTCTCCGAGCCTCGGTTTCCACGTCTGTTAAATGGGTGTAACAGTATCCACTGGTGGTGGAAATGGATTACAACGTGGGTGTGTAAAATAATCAGCACGGACTAGGATCTCATTCAGTGTCCATTTCATTTCCTTCTTCCAGACACCCCCAAATCACTACCGGCTCCATGCTCACTCTCTATAGTCAGGAGACAGGATGCCTGTCTGAGGGACTCCGGGTGCTCCTCTCCTTCCAAAAAGCCAGGGACAGGGTGCCCCGTAAGACAAACCCTAGCCCCCACCCTGGCTGGGACTGGTGACCGCACCTTGGCAGGAGCTCATATGCCTGGAAGCCGCAGCTGTGGGGTGGGGGCCGTATGGAGAGTAGGGCCCCGCGAGCTCCTCCTCCTCCACCCACCTTTTCCAGGCTTTCCTGGCCCAGGCTGCGGGTCAGGCACCAGGTCAGGCAGGGGGAGCCTGCACTTGGCTGTCATGTGACCCTGGGCCAGTCATTTCCCCCTTGGAGTCCCAAGGCCACCTTTTTCCCCATGAGAACAAATTTGGGTTTCCCAAAAGGATGAGTCAGACTAGGCAGGACACGCTGACCACCCTCAGCCGTGGTCTGATTTCCAGACCACAAGGAAAGAGGGTAGCAAAATTCCCTCTGCGGTAGGAGGGGCAGAAAGATGCCAACGCACCCACGGCCCCTCTGTACGTCCCGCAGACGGAGGGCAGCAGGCAAGTGGCAGGAAGGAGAGATGTTGGGAGGAAGGAGAGATGTCGGAAGGAAGTAAATGCAGCCCCCCTGCCCTGACCTCGTGGCTCCTTAGGTTAAATCCTGGGTGAGCAGCAGCAGGCCATGCCCACTGGATGTGATGTAGAAGGTTGACTGAAGGTGCTGTGGTCCTGCAGCCTTCCAGAACATCACCCAGGGTGGCAGAGCAGAGCCAGGCGGCCACTGCAGCCAACCCCTCACCTTACAGATGGGAAAACCAGCTCAATAACCTCTGATTGGGAGTGGCAGAGGCAGGAGGAAGGCCAGGCCCGCACCCCCTCTGTCCTGCTGCCAGCTCTGAAGGGTTTCTGGGATGAGAGAGTCAAGAGCAGGAAAATAATCAGGGAAAAACTCAAAGTCCACAGTGAAGGGGAGCCTCAGTTTCCTCACCTGTAAAATGGGGATAATAATAGCACCTATCTTACTGGGGTGTTAGGAGGATTAAGTACGTTTATATGAAGGGCCTAGAACACAATTATGCTCAATCCATTTAAGTGAGTGCTATTTTTATCATTAAGCTATAATATTACCAATTTTTAAAATACTGCAAGAAATCAAAATGGGAACAAACCCACCTTTTAGAAAACCCACCTTTTATTAATGTTAAAAAAAAGATTTGATTTTCAGTAAACTTCCTCTTGCCTGCCTTAGCCCCTGCCCCCACGCCCAGATGGCACAGGTGACTCCTCCCACGTCTGGGGCTGGCAGGGCAGGACTGGCCCTGGACCTGTTCCCCCAGCACCTGCGGCACTTGGCAGGGTGGCCTCCCTTCCGGTCAGCCTGCTGAGCTTGGGGGGATCCTGGCGGCTGGGATTTGGCAACAGGTCAGCCTTCCAGGCTGGGGGAGCCCTGGCTTCCCCACGTACACTCCTCCTCTTTTCTGAGTGTAATGGCCATGGACCGAGAAAGGCAGGGGGTGCTGGGCCACCAAGTCTGCCTTCTGAGCCTGGCAGCGGCCACAGCCAGTCTCCTTGGGGCCTTTGGGAGGGGCTAGGGTCTGAAGCCGAACAGACAGAGGGTCAGACATCTGGGCTCGCTGGGTCCCATGCACCCTTTAGTCATGGTCCGATTTCTCCCCTCTCTTCTCATCTAATATTCTCATAACCCCCAGATTTTCGAGGTCCACTTTCTCTCCCACAGGGCACGCTGAAAGTGCTCTTGGTAATGTCCCCAAAGTTGAGAAACTGAATGGGGACGTTTCAGTCCTTCCCTTGTTGGACTCCTCCATGACATCTGACCCCGCTAATAATTTCATCCTACAGATCTCCATGCCCTTCGCTTGTAGGTGCCTCTCTCGCCACCCCTCCTTCTCCCTCTCTGCTGCCTCTGTCTCCTTGCAGGGTCCTCCTCCTTTAAGGTTTCTTCCCCCCTTGGCTCTCACTTTCCCTGAGGCTTCCCACGCCCACTCCACGGTGGGCCCCTGTGCCAAAGCCCAGTCTCCAGCCCAGGGTTCCTTCCTGAGCTCCAGACCCATCGATCCCCCTGACATGTCCCTGGACGGGCCACCAGCCCCCAGCCTCCCTGTTCCACCTCTGCTCCGCGTGCTCTGAGAAGACATCCTTGGCTCCACCCTCGACCCCTGGTCCTGGTTGCCCTCCTCTCTGTGACGTCTCTCGCCTGCAGGCACGCCCCTCCGGGCAGCCCCAGCCTCTTCCTTAAGCCCACAGGGCTCCCCTGTGGTGTGAGCACCTGGGCCCACTCCCATGCTGCACTTCAGATGTGGCCTTTCTCTCCTGACCCCTCTCTCGGCTCTTTCTTGCCTCTGCCTTGCTCACCCTGGCATGACCCTAATCCTCATCGAAGAGTCTCTCTGAGGACACCTCTCCCCAGAGGCCTTCACCGATCACACTCTGTCCCCTTCATACCCCACCCAAGCCCCCATAAGCCTCACACTTCCTGCCTGTCTCCACCTGGCACAGCCCTGCACCACCCCTCCCCCACCCCACGGACTGACTACAAAAGGGGAGGGCAGGTCGGGCTGTCCTCTTCTTTTTTCATACTTGTTATTGCCGTTCATTGAAAAAAGTCAAAAAGGTTTTTTTGGGGGAAAAAAAATCACATTTACTCGCGTTATTTTCTCCCTTCTGCAGCCCCCTCTCAGTCCTCATCCACATGCAGCCACTGTCACAGAGCCGCCGTGTAATTACCGTTTTAATGACCGCCTTAATGCCCTGGACTCATCCGCGGCGCCATCATCCATCAGTCCGCTTGACCGGCTCCTGTTACTGGAGACGTAGGTTGTTTCTAATTATTTTTCTTCTAGATGCTCCTCGCAGGATCCATTTCATGCAGAGAGTTGTTTGTTTTTTTCTTTTTAAGTCTGTTGAATTATTCCTTTAGGCGGAATTCCCAGGAGTGGTATTACTGGGTCAGAGGATATTGACTTTTTGTGGCTGTGGCCAAGAACCACTTTCTAAGAGAGTTGGCCCCCTTATGTGGCGACGGGCTATGTAGGCATGTTCCATTTTTGTGCTAACTTAATATATGTATACAGTGGAACTTCGAGATTGATTTAAATACATTTCTTGGACAAAAACCATATCCTTAACCCAGCCTGGCAAGCTAGTCTCCTCCGCACGTCCTAGAGCGGGAGCCACGTAACCATTCCAGCGCACTCCCCGAGCGTCGGGCTCTGCACTACCTCACTTGATCCTCATAAAATCTCCTGCGGGGAGGCGCTGTTCTATCCCCCTTTTACCTAGGTTTAGAGAGGTTAAGACGCTGGCCCCAAGTCACACAGCAGTGGAGCCCGGTGCGCGGCTCCAGAGCCTCGTTCTTCATCATCGACCCCAGTCTCGGCTGGAGGGGTCCGGCCTCACGCACCTTAGGGAGAGTGAGGAAGACAGGTGAGGACGCACCAGGTGCCGGACACTGCCCCAGACCATTTCTGTCTCAGTGCACCTGGAGCGAGAGGGACGAAGGCCAGTCCCCCCAGGCGTGTCCTGCTGGCTGGCAAGATCACCGGGAGACTCGCCGTGGGACCTTTGCCGCTGCGGCCGGTGCCCGCTAAGTCTCTCTGTGCACCCGCTGCGTCCGCGGCAGCCCGTGCAGGCCTCGGTCCTGTGAGGCAGGCCGGTACGGTCCCGTCTCACAGGTGAGGAGGCGGAGGCTCAGAGAGTGTGAGGGATGCAGACCTAGCAGGCCACCTGCGTTCACATTCCAGCTCTGTCATTTGAGAGCTCTGTGACCTTAGGCAAGATGCTTAGCTTCCTCAGCCTCAGTTTCCTCTCTGTGAAATGGAGATTAAAAGCAGCCCCTCCCTCCTGGGGTTAAATGAGAACATAGGAGAGCCTTTGACATAGAGCCTGGCGGGGGTGAATGATCGCTGGCATGAGGATGGGGGAGCTGCACTCCAGCGACCTGCAGACCCCACTGGCCCCTCTCCCTGTGGCTGGCCTCCCCCCATCTCCAGATGGGACACCCACCCTGGGAGGACCTGAACCTCCTACTCCTGCCAGTGGTGGCACCTTCATTCTAGGAAGAAACACGGATTTTTTCAACCCCAGCTTTGCCACTTGCTTGCTGTGACCTCAGAAAATCCCCTCTCTTCTCTGATCCTCAGTTTGCCCATCTGTCAAATGGGAGAGGTGGGTAGGATGTCCCAGAAGACCCCTCTTGCACTGTCATCCTGTGCCCTTGAAGCCTCCCCTCCCAGCAGTCCATCCTCCAGGAAGGAAGACCCTTTCCTACTGTCCCAGGCCTGGCAAGAGCTGCGTAGGCAGAAGGCAGAGCCGTACCTGTGGGACATGTTTTTCTTTAGGTGTATCTTACATTCAAGATATGTAAGAGCTCACGTCTCTAACTTAGAAAGGACACAGAGCTTAAGTGGACAGTCCAGTGAAAATGTTTGTATGGGCACACCGATAAAAGCGCCACCCAGCTCAGGAATGAGAACATTTCCAGACCACAGAAGGCTCCCCTGTGCCCCCCAAAGTCAGTACTTCCCCAGACATAACCACAATCTGGCTTCTGTGACCACCACTT